TATTGCGGATCTTTTTCCGATTTTTGTGCGAGCTCATAAATATTTTCTATGCGTTTATAAATAACATCGCGTTTGACTATATAAATAGTCAGCTGATTTTTATTTGTATCATAACTATCCCCTGCAAAACCTTCACTGCCCTTCCTCTTCGGCTTAACCATGGTTAAAAATAGTTAGTAAATTACGACAGACAATAAAAAATAGAAATATTTGCGGTAAATAAAATTAAAAGTAAAATATTTTATGTGAATGCTATTGGATCTTTAACAGAATGTATATAGTAGGCAATCTTAACGGTTTTAAAAGTAAGTTATAGTAAAAATATTAGCGGGTGAGATTGGCGGGTAAGAAAAAATACTATTAGCGGGTAGCGAACGTTGAGACGCGAGTATAAGATCGTTAGCGGGGCGAGCCGATATTAACCGAACAATGACAAAATAAAATGAACATTATTACAAATTATGCGAAAAATGGAATGTGTATAACTCAATGATGCATTGGACTACGTAATGCGGTGCGGAAATAAAAACAATAAACTGTCGATGCGGAATAATAACAATAGAAATTCGACAATTTATTTAATTTACGTAGCACAAGTACCACTATAAGTTATACTTAGCGGATTTTAGTAAATTGTAAATTCTTAGCGATTGTGTATTTGAACGAAAATGAATTTATGATTTCTATGTAAATATTTGCCAAATTGAACAACAACACTTATATTCGTGAAAGCAATGATTAAAACTGTAGCGAAATTACATTAATTTGGGAAAATCTGGTTAGAACTGACCATAAATAATGGGAAAATCCGGCTCGAAGGACCAAAAAAGTATGGAGGCGCCTAAACCCCCATAACTTGGGTTGCGGGAAAATAATAATTTTGCGTGCTCAATACTTATATGGAGAGGCTAACCCTAGGCGTAGGTTAATAGTGGACTGTATCTGGGGGGCGGTAATACACAATCATATATTATTAAAAATACAAAATAAACTGCGCCTTGCAAATGCCTTATCTATTTAAGGACGAAGAAAATGGTTGAAGACTTGGAGACAAAGGAAAGGAACATGCGCACTTACCTCAGCACACCATCCGTTTGGTCGCAAGTCATCCTTCAAGCACTTATATCGAAAATAAATCGTTTGCCGGCACAGATTTTGTATTTATATAAATTGCACAATGTAAAATGTTCACTAATAGTATGATCGCACAGTAATTTTTGGATACTATATCACAACATGTGTGTCTTCCATTACAACGTTCACAAGAGAGAGGTGGAAAAAGTATAATGTCCTATGCACTCCGCGGTGTCGTCGAAAGCAGGACGGCCATAGCTAAAAGTGCACATGTATGAAAAGGATGGGAGATAGATTGGATTAAGGCAATTGCAAGTGCATAAACTACCCTATAATGAAATTATTAAAAACCCGCACAATACGAAATCCAACAAATAATATAACAGATTTTTGATACTTAATTTTGTTTTGTGGATTTCAACTCCGTAAGCATTGCAAGCTAATCGACTTTTACTATCAGTAACCTATCTTATCCATTTGGTCTCTGGTAGGTACTGGGGCGATCTACCCTGAAGGGGTAGGTCCTGGGAGCGTAGCAATAATAATTGAAATAACTTTGATTTTATATTTTGTTTTATTAGTAATTAGGCGAATATAATAATTGAGCTTAATCTATCAACGTATGGTTTGGAGTCTGAAGTCTATCTTCTGGAATCTTCTATCAAACGACAGAAGATTTCCAATTTCAAATCTTTACAAATCATGACATCACCTTTTTAATATAACTGCCAGCCGTAGGCATTACATGAACAAAGAGTTTACCCAAACAAGGAGGCTGTAACGCAACGGACGTTACAGTACCTTAAATGAGGAGACTACTTTCAAAATCCACTAAAATCTTTTTCGGAAAATATAAGCTAGCAAAAAAAACTCCTCATTTTAAATAAAAGGTCAGTTCAATTAAAGTAAGCATCGTACATTTTTAATTTGTGCTTTATAAACACTTTTAACATGATTTACCAAGGAAAACACGGTTTTTAACGGATAAAGTGCTAAAAGAAGAAGAAGTGGGTTTTGATGAGAACCTTTGATTATAACGGGATTTGCAACGACTATTATAAATTTTGGCGGGTTTTGATTTGAATAGATTTTGAGGTATGGATGGTTTTATCCTACATGCATGAATTAAAATAATCCACTGTGTAGATATTCTTATGTAAATGTTAAAGTTAAGGTTTGTCAAAATATTTTTTTGGTACTATCTAGTACAAACTCATAATAATAAACAAGGGATTTTTTTACCAAGCATTAATTTTTAAAAAATCATAGGTACATTTAAACATGCAAATTAACTTCTTCCCCAAAATGCTCACACATATTTTCTTCATCAACTACTTTTTTATGAAGCAACATAATTAATGCATGTGCGTTTGATAATTTTTGAAGAAATAATATTTTCACAACACATGAAAAAATATATAGAATATGCCCCCTAGCTTTGCAAACTTCAATGTTGTAAAACAAGACAATTTTATTAATTGGTGCCATGTACTGTGTTGGATCCTACGCCTTCATCCATCATCGCACCATTCTGCATAACACCTTTTAACGGACATAACAAAGTTGTTCACGTAATTTGAATCCTGTGCTGTGATTGGTCCGCGCATTTTTGGTAGATTATAGTGGAGTTTGCAACGAATACGAATTTTAGATCACTGTTTTTTTATAGAATTAAGCGAATTTTGCAGCAAAATATTTCGTGGATATGAATAATAAATATTCAGAAATATTTTGGAAGACTTAACTATTTTATAGTCAAAAACCGTTTTAGCGGGTTTTGAAAGTAGACTCCTCAAATATGGGATGAGCTTAACCCAAATAAAACTAATATATACTTAGGTACGTCACCCATTTATTCAATTAAATATTAAAATAAACAAAGATAATGTAGAAATATTGCGCTTATGAAGTAATTTCATAATTAGGCCCTAAGTCTTTATTTATATAACCTCTTTATTCCTTTAGTCTATCACCTTCAAATTGAACTAAAAAAATAAAAAGCAGTGAGACTCTGAATCTATTGAAGGCTTCAATAGATTCAGGGACTAGGAAGGTGCTTACTATATATCTTTTATAGATAGATTATTTGAAAACTTTAAGTTTATTTTCTAATTTATTTTACGCAACAGAGAAGTTTGACACTATTCTTAATCTGTCTTATTATTTTTCTGAACTGGCTCCTCCGTTCTTCATTTCTCTATCTATGCGACCTGCCGTATCATTAAGAAATAACCAAATATTCATCAATATTCACATAAACATCTTCATGTCGTATGTGTTTATCCTTTGCGAGTTTGGCAGAGCACTTTCATATATATTAGCTTGATAGTAAACATGTTTGTAATATAAGCATAATTGCCATAGCACAGCTAAATATTCGTTTTAACACTAAACACACAAACGTATTTTTATGATATTTGTTATTATGTTCATTGAAAATTCCTGCCTGTTCCAACACTGACACTTACTTAATAACTCTAGCCGTGATGCAGAAATATAAATGTAGGTAAGTGTCTAACGCTTTTTTGTGGCCTGGGAAGACAAATGAAACGGTTTATCTTGCAGTTTTTGGCTCTTCCCCTGCGTCCTTCATGAATGTTATGCATAAATCAACAACAGACTTGCAGGATTCTTACAATGAAATCTTTTTTTATAAGAAGAATGATCAACTGTGTGTCGTGAGTTTGGATTTAAATAGAAATAAAATCGTTCTGTACTATTTAAACCACCAGCCTTGGCTATTACTTTAAAACTAAACTGAGCTGAATAATCTTAGGTTAATAGCTAACGTTGTGAATGTTATATTTTGTTCACTTAAGACATTAGCAAACAATCAAACACAAAAATCTAGGGGAAATCCTGACTATTCTGTTCTGAGACGCTGACTGAGACTGCGTTGAAATAAGTACCACTAAGGTTTAAGACAGATCATCAGATACACAGATCACTTAACTAAAAAGTAAATTAAAAAGCGAAAATACCCGACTGCTTAAAAATGAACATTAAATAAAAACTGAAAGAAAAAAAAACAAGTCCAGCAAGCTATCTACTTCAATATTCGGAACCCATTAATACATATTATATTCTGGACAGGATACAATTTTCTCAATAATGGGTCCTGACCTAAGCTCCCGCTTAGTAGGTAACTATAAGTTTAGTAAACATATGTAATTAGTGACATACCTAGATAAATAACTTCTTCTTCTAGCATGACTCGAAGCCTAACAATAAGCGAGGTTAAGACCAAATTACAAAAGCTTGGATTTAACCTTATACTGATCGCTTTAGTGTTATTCTACTTATATAAATATATATAGTTTTTATTGCTGAATACGGGTATTACCTATCGAACCGACTAGTAATTGATGTGATTTCGAGACACCAAACCATAGTTATATGACTCATTCTTTACAGTTGTACCTACAGAAAAGAGGTCAACAGAGGTTATAATTTGACTATTTAATAGAATTTGTACGATCAGACCACTATCATGGCTTTTATTGTAGTTGCAATAACTAACATGGTGATAAGAGTGCTTTATTAAAATATAAAATTACAAATCTTAATCTTCGCATAAAAAGTCTTACTCGTAGGTTTATTTTCAAGCACGTAAGACTAAACTGATAAACAGCAATAATATGGAACCCAAAAAAGTTTTTTGTAGGTATCCCTACCCAACTTTTATAGAATCGTGAGATCGTAAACAATTACGTACTAAGCACCTACTTAATTATTACAGTTATTGAACATGTAGACGCTCTGACGTCATTTTAGAATCGACTTTAACAAAGAGATTTACTCTAATGTAAACAAGCATACGGGCCTTCCCTTTTTCTGAGTAAGATGTTGCGTCAGGGAAAGAACCTGAATTTTACTTTCCTCGATTGCTCGTATAAATACTCAATCATGCCAGATACACTTCATAACGTAGAGATACTTACTTCGAACAGTTTTAACGAAGATGTTACGAAGAGCGAGTTTTTTATTGGGCTGTTTGCTCTTGGTGTTTATTGCGGAAACCACGAGTGAACATGTGCCATTTCCCTTTATTACAACGGCACCACCACCAAAGTTTGAAGTCCGTTTTCGAAGAAATGTGAACGACGAGCCGCTTTGGTTGTATAAAGGTGATGATGTAAATCGGGCACCAGCGACCGGTGAGCACCCGTATCTGCCTCCGTATATTGATGACATCAAACTGGACCCGAAAACGAGGTACGCAAGAAGCGTCGACTCTCCGAGTGCAAAGCGGGGTGGTGGCAGCCACTCAACTTCCAGCAGCAGCAGAAACACTGGAGCTACTCACCCTGGATACAATCGCCGCAACGCACGTTCTCTGCACACTCCGACAATATTCAACCCTCCATCTCCGACTTTCCCTAAACCCTTTGACCCCATCTTCCCCAAGCCTGACTTCCCTGGTCCTAGACCCATCTACCCTATTTACGCGAGACACGCCCGGGATGTCCAGATGAACCCGCTACAGAAGCCTACTCATTATGACATAACAATCCCTGGATGGAACCCCAACGCTCGTGTACAGCCGTGGCAAAAGATTCGAGTCAGAACTGGCCGTGATATTCATGATATTGATTCTGAGGAAGACTCTATTGATTTATGAATTTTATTGTCGTAAATTACCTTTAGGGAATTGTGCATTACAGAGTACTTATCATAAATTGACTGATTTTTTTACTTGCTCATTGTTGTCAAGAATTAATTATCTAATAAAATTTTACTTACTTTTGCATATATAACTATCTTTATTATTTACTTTAAGCAAGGATAAAAAGAAGAGAAAACCCAAGGCAGGGTTGTTCCGTATTCATCCTATGACGTATCATTCCATTTCCTTTCTCATCTCAAACTTGTACTCTTAACTCAACCATCATTATTTGAATACATTTTCTTAAGTCAACCCAATTGCATTCCTTACTCATCCATCCCAAGGTAAATATAATAAAGTATAGATAGTAAAATGATGATAAATATATTATGTACGCTATATTTATATGTACCTACTGCTTACTTATATACGATGCGATATAACTATTTAATATATATATTTGTTTTAATTTTAGTAGCTCATATTCTATTGCCATAACATTTGTGTCCTACACCCTTACTAGTAGACTGCTAGAGATTGCCTATGGCGTTAAGTCCATCGTTAACTGTTTTTTGGTAAAAAATAATAAATAAATCCATCCTCAATCAATAAATGAAATGTGAATATTAGATATTAAGTAAAAAGAAACAATGTTAGGTACGTGGTTTATGAAAATAGATAACCTACACACTAGCAATAATAACAAACATGGCTGGACTAAATCTAAGTATCAAGTATATAAAATTCTTGTGTCACGGTTTTTTTACAAAACTCATACGAAAATACCTGAACGATTCTTATTCAATTTTGTGTTTATATTCAGTAGGCCTGAGAATAGGACTTAAACTATTTTTCCTTCTAAACTTAGAGCATATAGTTACTTGGTATATGCTCTAAGCCCCTAAATGATCAGGGTGGTCCACCCTAATTTTTTAATTGTATTTTTGGACATTTTTTTTTTTATGATTCGGCATTAAAAAGTACATATTACCGTAAATTTTCACCCTCCTACCACCAATTATTTTCGCATTCCATTAAAATGTGTTGCACATCCTCCACTTTTCACATATTTCACAATTAGGGGAATGATTTTTTTTAAAAGAAACAAGAATTTATTTAATGGAATATGTCCGGAACGAAGTCGATGCATAATCATAATATATGTACGACCTATGTTACCATTAGAAAATATAACTAGAAAAAAATCCACGCGGACCAGGCAGCAGACGGGACTCGAACCCGCACCCTTCGCAATCCGGGCGAATGCACTGACCAATTATGCTACCGCGGCCCTCACGGACCGCGTCGAAATTCTTTCTAGCTATTCTTAAGCTGCAAGGCAGCGCCATCTCTTCGCATCATAGGTAAACCCACAATGTCAAATGAATACTTTTACAAGTATTATACATTTGAAAGAAGAAATAGCAATTATAGTTATAATTTTTATTATTTTTAAAGCATGTAACTGCTTGATGTTTAAATCTAAAGAAAATATAACTAGAAAAAAATCCACGCGGACCAGGCAGCAGACGGGACTCGAACCCGCACCCTTCGCAATCCGGGCGAATGCACTGACCAATTATGCTACCGCGGCCCTCACGGACCGCGTCGAAATTCTTTCTAGCTATTCTTAAGCTGCAAGGCAGCGCCATCTCTTCGCATCATAGGTAAACCCACAATGTCAAATGAATACTTTTACAAGTATTATACATTTGAAAGAAGAAATAGCAATTATAGTTATAATTTTTATTATTTTTAAAGCATGTAACTGCTTGATGTTTAAATCTAAAGAAAATATAACTAGAAAAAAATCCACGCGGACCAGGCAGCAGACGGGACTCGAACCCGCACCCTTCGCAATCCGGGCGAATGCACTGACCAATTATGCTACCGCGGCCCTCACGGACCGCGTCGAAATTCTTTCTAGCTATTCTTAAGCTGCAAGGCAGCGCCATCTCTTCGCATCATAGGTAAACCCACAATGTCAAATGAATACTTTTACAAGTATTATACATTTGAAAGAAGAAATAGCAATTATAGTTATAATTTTTATTATTTTTAAAGCATGTAACTGCTTGATGTTTAAATCTAAAGAAAATATAACTAGAAAAAAATCCACGCGGACCAGGCAGCAGACGGGACTCGAACCCGCACCCTTCGCAATCCGGGCGAATGCACTGACCAATTATGCTACCGCGGCCCTCACGGACCGCGTCGAAATTCTTTCTAGCTATTCTTAAGCTGCAAGGCAGCGCCATCTCTTCGCATCATAGGTAAACCCACAATGTCAAATGAATACTTTTACAAGTATTATACATTTGAAAGAAGAAATAGCAATTATAGTTATAATTTTTATTATTTTTAAAGCATGTAACTGCTTGATGTTTAAATCTAAAGAAAATATAACTAGAAAAAAATCCACGCGGACCAGGCAGCAGACGGGACTCGAACCCGCACCCTTCGCAATCCGGGCGAATGCACTGACCAATTATGCTAAAGTTTATATGAAAAATCTTATTATTTTAGTTAAACTTCATGTTTGACTGAAATCAAATCGTGAACAGACTGATAAAAAATCAGATTGGTTAAAAAATAAGCTGCTCTGTTCACTAATTACATACGTATGAAGTCGTGGGCAAAAGCTAGTTATCTATAAAATGGTATATGTCTTATCAAATTTAAATTATTTTTAGCTTTAAAAGGGGTCACCAGAGGTTATGGACTTGGCTATAAGAACTAGAAGTGGTGTGATCAAACCACTATCATGGCTTTTATTGTATGTAGTTGCAATAATGAACACGGTGAAAAAAAGCTTTATTGAATATATATCCTGTATATATATTCAATAAAGCTCTTTTTCACCAGGTCCAGTTAGTGACGTCAACATGTTTTTTTTAGATATCTCGCACCTTGGGGTATCCGAGAATACCCCATGTATTTTCCGCGATTTTTCTAAGTTATCGAGTTATATTTTTTTGTGTATTTTCAATGATTTCTGGTAGCGAGGTTTCAAAAATTCATATCTTTGTTCGTAGTAGGTAAATTGCAGTTTTTTTATTGTGACATAATTGGCTAGAATGTTGTTTTAATAAAAAAAAATAACTCAACTTCCAGAAATTACTTATAGTTACTCAATAAAGGCTTGAAAGTTGGAACTTTAGTTTTTAGTATGTTTAGGTCCAACTTTCAAGCCTTTTTTGAGTAACTTTAAGTAATTTCAGGAAGCTGAGTTATTTTTTTATTAAAACGACATTCAAGACAATTATGTCACAAAAAAAGACTGCATAACACCTACTAAGAAAAAAGATATGAATTTTTGAATCCTCGCAGGCAGAAATCATTAAAAATATACAAAAAAAATTATAACTCGAAAACTAAGAAAAATCGCGGAACAAACATGGGGTATTTTCGGATACCCCCAGGTGCGAGTAATCTAAAATAAATTGTTGACGTCACTAATTTGACCATCCTGTATATATAATAAATAAATATTGCCAACACTCACACCAATTAGCCTAGCCCCAAAGTAAGTACTATAAGGCTTGTGTTATGGGATACTAGTAACAGATAGAATACATATACTGTACATATATAAGTATATTCATATAGAATTACATATTAAACATCCATGACTGGAGTACAAATGCTCGTATTCCTCACACAAACACCTGCCCCCACCGGGATTCGAACCCGGGACCTCTCGAGTCGGCGACACCATGAAACCCGGCGTACGAACCACTCGGCCACGGAGGTCGTCAATATAATTATATATAAACTCTAAATCTTAATCCAAAAGTTGTAGGTATGTAAGTTATGTTTTATCAGTAAGTTTCAAGCTCAATAGACTATGCTGATTAACAACAATGTAAACAAACGAACGGGCCTTCCCTTTTTCTGAATAAGATGTTGTGTCAGGGAAAGAACCTGAATATCACTTTCCTCGATAGCCCGTATAAATACTCAATCATGCCAGATACACTTCATAACGTACAGATACTTCGAACAGTACTAACGAAGATGTTGCGAAGAGCGAGTTTTTTATTGGGCTGTGTGCTCTTGGTATTTATTGCGGAAACAACGAGTGGACATTTGTTGCCCTTTGTTACAACGGCATCACCACCAAATTTTGAAGTCCGTTTTCGTAGAGATGTCAACGATGAGCCACTTTGGTTGTATAAAGGTGATGATATAAATCGGGCACCAGCGACCGGTGACCACCCGTATCTGCCTCCGTATATTGATGACGTCAAACTGGACCCGAGCACGAGGTACGCAAGAAGCGTCGACTCTCCCAGTGCAAAGAGAGGTGGCGGTAGCCACTCAACTTCCAGTAGCAGAGGAAGCACTGGACCTACTCACCCTGGATACAATCGACGCAACGCACGATCCCTGCACACTCCGACGATATTCAACTCTCCGTCTCCGACTATCCCTAAACCCTATGACCACATATTCCCTGGACCTAGACTACCTACTTACGAGAGACACGCCCGGGATATCCAGATGAACCCGCTACAGAAGCCTACTCATTATGACATAACAATCCCTGGATGGAACCCCAACGCTCGTGTACAGCCGTGGCAAAAGATTCGAGTCAGAACTGGCCGTGATATTCATGATATTGATTCTTCAGAGGACTCTATTGATTTATAAATTTTATTGTTGTAAACTTTGATTACCTTTATTACTTTACGGAACTGTTCATTTCATTGTATCATAATTTAACTGTGATTTTTTGTACTTGCTCGTAGCTGTCAAGAATTAACAACCTTAGTAATAAAATGTTATTTATTTGACTTTGAAGTTTACTTTTTTTTATTTACATTAAAAAAATAAGAAAACCTGGTATTCCTACGCAACCTTTAACATTATTTTAATAAATTTACTTAATTCAACCTAATTGCGTTCCTTACTTATCCATCTCAAGGCAAATGTAACAAAAAGGGTGAATAGTAAAATAATGTACAATATTTTTTTCAGAACAATATTTATATAATTACGTATGTTATATATATATATATATATGTACTGCTTTCTATCACTATAACATTCGTTTGACTGAACACCCTTACTGTTTAACTGATATAAGTACATATACACATGAAATTCTCGTGCTACAGTGTTTATAACAATAAACTTCCGAAATGGTCTGACCGATTCTTATAAAATATTGTGTTTATATTCCGTAGGCCGTACGTCTAAGAATAGGACGTTAACTATTTTTCATACTTCACTTGTCTTCTAAATCTTATGTAATGGGTGATCCACCACAATTTTTTGGTGATTCGGCATTAAAAAGTATACACAACATAAAATTTTCAGCCTTCTACCACCTACCCTTATTTTATAGCGGTGCGAAGTTTCCTGGGTCAACTAGTATATCTTCTTTAATATACACCGTGAAATTTAAGTTACCCGAGAAACTTAGAAAATGTGTAAATAAATATAGTGCGAACAGTTATAAATAGTGAACGTACTACACCCCCATACAAAAATATTGATTTATATAGTTTACAAAATATCGTAAAACAGCACAAATTTGTAAATAACAAATCGATTATGGAAATATTATCCCTGTAAAATACCTACGCAGATCCTAAAAATAGTTTTATTTGAATCAATTAATAAGAATTAATACATTACACATTACACCTACCTACCATCATTCTAGTGAACTCAATAACATTGATTACGTCAATAAAGTACTTAAGGTGTCGATTGTATTTTATTTGCAGATATCAGATATTTTGAGAAGATGATGTCGAGTTCAAATGACGGTTTGCATACCTGTTGAATTATTCATGAAAGTTAAATGGAATGTACCTACATTCACTCGCCTCCCAGAGGAAGAGTTGTCCATGGGTACCTAACCAACCCACTCCCATCCCAGGGCACAGTTTGTATCCAATGGAAATAAAAAACTAGCAAGGGATAATCACTATCAATGGCGGGGCTCTGGAAAATTTCGATTGCCAGCGCTCCCGAACTCTCAGCACGAATCTGGAGTCCCGCCCTCAAAATTCGTATCTGGGAACTGGTGCAGGAGTACTATCTGTAGTGTAAGTGGATAGGGCTCTGCTCCTTACGCGAACTCTGAGCTGGACGAAATGAGCTACCAGGAGTCCTCACATATCTTCGTTCCAACTCCGGGTGGGAAGTAAATCGCTACGCCTTTGCCGGACTAAAAATAGTTTAGGGATGTATAGCATAGTCGTATGTGCGTGGCACCTTACGCGCTAGACGAGTAAAACCACGACTAATGGCCGCAACGACCAGATCGAACAAAAGTTGGCCGTTACGGTGAAGTCGGAACGTTCGTATGGTTTCTATATTATTAAGCACCTCCTGCAGTGGACGGCCGCGACCACGATCAACCGTGGCCGTGGCCGCAACCTTGGTCGCAGAAATTAATACGGTTGGGTGCGGTCAAGTTTGCAGCCATGACCACGACTGGGTGTAAAGTGACCATATTGCTGACCGTTTCTTTATTTCATTTATAATTAACTATGTATCAAAACTAAGTGCAGAAAAAAACGTTATCTTACTGAGTTGCGCAACGATACGAAACATGATCACTGACAAACTGTCCGCATGACACTGAGAATGGCTGGTCGCGGCCAGGCTGCATTCGCGGTCGCAGATCTAGTGTGTGAGGAGCGCTCATACGTAACAAAGCAAACTAAACGTAAGTTGGATGCAGTTCTGCCGGCCCGGCGGGCGTACGCCAAGTGTGCGATGGTGTTATGGTTTCTTTAGTTAATCTGGTCGTTGCGACCACTGGCCGTTTTTGTGGCCGTCTAGTGCGCTAGTGCACTATCACAATCACCTATTTAGGAGCAAATAATAATTGTTCTTAGCACGCCATACATAGACGATATTATTTTGGATTTTTGGCCTATAAAAGGTTAAAAAAAACTGTTTGTCAAAAATCGTGTTATTGTTGTTCGCGCATATATCCGAAATCGATTTCGATTATTCTTATTTTACCATTAGGTATATAAAATAAATTTTTTTCTTTGGTATTTTATCCAAATAAATTATATCTAGACTAGCAAACCAGTGAACCAAATGTTCACCAAAAAAAAAATAAAATAAAAAAAAATGTATTTAATTAATTGAGAATTTCGGAGATTTTGTGTGGTTTCGTTTGAAATTGAAATCACGTGATTTCTCGAAAACCGGAAGCGCTACGTTACTCACATCCGGTTTGTAGTCTTATCAGACTATTCTCAACTCATAACTTAAACATTCTCTTTATCTATCTCTTACGGTTTGGCCGCTGAAACAGCACCACGGACGGACGGACGGACGGACTTGTCTAATAGATAAGAGATGAGACTCGCCTTTAATAGCATTAGTTTATTTACCAATATTTCAAACAGTAGCTGATCAAGAGGATTGAATAAAATGCAAAAATATAAATGTCTACATAAGCTCAGCGGTACTATGTGCGACGCTCGTTTTGATTTATTTGTTATACTACACATTTCAAATTTCGAAAAAAGTTAGCGTGGTGAATAAGTACATTGCAATAGGGATGATGACTATTTTTTTTTCTTCGTTTATCAGGTAGATTATCAAAAAGTATTGGACACGTATTTTTTCTTTTGTCACATAATATAAACATTGCAGAGATATATTGATTTGAAAAGTCGCATGACGTCACGTTTGAGTACACTTTTAAGCGAATATTCACTAAAAAGTGACGTCACGAGCCCCTACTCCCAAACTTTGACGCGCTATAACTTTTTCATTTTTTGGTTGATTGCCCAAAGAAAAAATACGGATCCATTATTTTTTGATCATCTAACTGACGGACTAAATAGAATTTCGTTTACTGTACCCCGTCATCACCCCTATTATATTATTTGCCAGCTGACCCGGCGAACTACGTACCGTCTTTATAACAGTCGATATCTTTAATATCTAGTTTAATTAAATTTAGAATTTTATAAGCGAAATAAAACAAATACAAAAACGTTCAATAGTTTACTAATAGGACAATCTATATATAAAACAAAGTCGTGTTAGTTAGAACACTTATAACTCAAAAAGGGCTGGATCGATTTTTATGAGATCCGATTTTTTGGTATCCTCTCCGCCCCGAATAGCAGAATAACTATTATAATATAAGAAAAATTAGGAAAAAAGCAATGCAGAAAAAAAAATTTTGATTATATAAATTAGGTTTGGTTCCGCCTTCTTTCACAATTCACAGCTCTCGTCACAAAAGCACAAAGCTTCATGGGCGGACAAACGTCAAAACGCACAGCGCGGTACCGAGAGAATAGTGTTATCTCTTTTGGTCTTGCAATAATTTCCAATACTACTATCTCTGTCATGCGCGGTCCGATCAGATTTCAATATTTATGACAACGAAAGAAAATAAATTTCATAATTAATGAAATCTAAAAACTTACGAGTGAAATGTTACACCATTAGCTTTATTTGTATTTCTAGTATTGTAAGTGCATTTTTGGAAGGCACACGATGGCATTTTGAGAACTTTTCTCGCAAAAAATGCCTGCGGTATTTTAATCACCAACGTGAAACTGTCACTATATATATTCAGATGAACACTGATTAGACTAGGTGTGAGCGTTCTAAAGACGAACCGGTTTCAAGGACCGTTTTGTGTTCCGCGACGATAGAACCGTTTTACGTTTCGGATCAAAACAGTCTTCGTCGAACAACTAGTCCTCGGATTGTCTGCACACCAACATGTACTTTATAATGAAATAAATACAGTCTATAATAGAACGCAATGGTATGAGGCCGTTTCGTTCTATAATAAATGAAGCTTTGATTTTACAATAATATAATCTTTATTATTGAATAATTAAAGTCGAATATCGTATAACACTACATTTATTTCGATGTTTCGTCGTCTCGTTCGCAGCAACGAAACGAACGTTAACAAGATTTCATTTAGTTCAGTTTCGTTGCGTTACATTCGTTCGACCGTCGCGTGTCGTTTCGTTGCGTCACCCAGCCACAACCAAAACCAGTTGCGAACGAGAACCGTTTCGAGGACTAGTTTTCGTTTAAGTGAAAACGGTTGCGTTTAGTCGTCAGAAAATTTGAGAACGACACACCGCTAGATTAGACAAAACATGATGAAGGGACTTAGCTCATTCAAGTGTAGAAAGATTTCATCATTTCAGCGAGGTCAAACTATGGTAAGGGCATATTTAACGATTTAAATCTTTGGCTACGAAACTAATTTTCGTCCACAATTCAAACAAGAACAAGAGATTAGGTACATATATTCATAACATTGCTCTTTTTTCATATGAACCGACTCAATTTGTTTTTTTGCAGATTTATTATGACTAATTATTTAATAAATAACTTCTCCGACTCCAATTCTCTCTCTTTTATTCTCTCTACAAACAAAAAATGTTCTTCAAATGAAAGAGATCCTGCATGACATCACATTTATGCCATTTTTGCCAGATCAATTTTTTTTTGTTGATGTTCTCCCGTTATAGGGAAGGCAAAGGGAACAATGCCCATACATCCTGGTCTTTAATTAAATTAATATTCTTTTTGTTGACGTGACAACGTCTTAAATTAAGTTGCGGCTGGGAGTCACTTATGAAAAGTGTAACGCTCGGTAACGTTACGATGAGTCTCTCGTGTTAAGTTTAAGTTTACATGTACAATGTTTTAGTAAACAAAATATATTTCTATAGTTAAAATTTGTGCAATTCTTATTTTCATTCAATTCCTTGTTCCTATTGTGCAATTTAATTATATTCATATCAATAAATACCGAGAAAAAGACGTTGTCACGTAAAATCTTCGCCCGTAAAACCGACTTTACAGGCAACCATTTTTTTTACATTAGAATGTCGGTGTGACGCATTCTAATGTTTCTTGGAGTGTTTGGCACGAAATGTATCGAGTTGGCTTTTCCGATAAGCTTCTGTGAGGTAGTCAACACCACAATAAAATTCTCACGTCCACTTGACCGGAATAGCGTATATTTTAATGATTCCACTAATTCTTCAGTTACGCAGACAGTTGTTACACAAAACCACACCAATTTTATTTCACAATATCCACTATGAACGAATTTAAGAATAATTAAAATAAGACGCCAACCGCACTCGATGAAATCCCGCCAAAAACCCCTTGCCAGATCAAGTTTTTCTGGTGTGACCAGATTATTGACTTTGCAAAGTTATCGTGGTTCGACTTTATGGCATGTCATATATCTGTGGGCATGTCCATACTAAATACCTACGTTCATGTTTCCTTCTAGTGTCAATGGGCCCTAATGGGCCAGTACTTTGGACCAAAGAGTAGTATTTATATGGACTACCAACTTAACATAACAAACGTCAGTCAGCAACGAACGTCAACCCAATGAAATTGATTTGTTTGTTCAAGGTTGTAGGACTATGCAATTTTAAATTTAATGCTCATAAATTAATTACTTTTGTTTCCATAGGAGTAAGAGATACAATTAAATCTTTTAATCATGGGGGACGGACCGAATCCAGGTATATTATTATATTGTTTTTATTAACAAAGTGTCCCCTTTGGGTGTGTAAACTAATATTCACTTTATTTTTATTTACAGACGACCATCAGATGCTCAAAGCCTTGTACGACTTCGAGGCAACCCTTGCTAAAACTTTAAGTTTCTCCGAGGGCGAATATTTCTTTCTTCAGCAAAATAATACGAAGCAAAGAAACTGGTGGCATGTCGCCAACAGAAAGGGTCTTGTTGGATTCGTACCGTCTAATTATGTGGCTTCGGTCAAGGTAAATAAAGCCTGATGAAAACTGTATTTTGTATTGATGAATGATTGTAATAATCCCACATTATCCAGTAGCTTTTTGCTACTCATTCATAGTGTCATAGGTTCAATGTCAACTTACATTGTTATTATAATTGATTGTGTCTATTTGTCAATTAAAACTAGCCAGTCGGAGTACATTTAATTTTAAACTGTTCAAGGTGGAGCCTGAATTCTACTTGTTGTTCTTAAATGACTGTATAAAGTCTCTGAATGAGAACAGCTTTACATCTACACAAAAGCAAGAGTTATTAGCTAGATTGACTGAAAAGAGAAAGCAAATTGAAATGTCTATGAAACCGCATAGTAAGAAAGCCCAAGCACCCAAGCCTCCACCGAGGTTGGATGATGGCACACCTCCTAATGGAGTATCACCGTCATTTGACTTGAGACCTGTAGTGTCACAACAACAAATTAATGAAGAACGAGAGTCTACCAATTCACCACGAAGATCATCCAACAACAATAAAGGTATTTCAAGTGTTAATTTATTTTGTCCTCAATGCTTATTGCAATCCATAATTAAAGCAATTTCATTGGAAAATATTGTAGCACATAGACCAGTAACAATTCAATGAAAGTGTAAGATGGAACTAATGTTTGTAAATAAATGTCTGTAATATAATAAAAGTACATATGATAGATGTAAAGGAGACATCCTATACCGATTTTATAATTACATTGTTACAAAATAATATAAAATTTTAACAGATATAGAAGATAAAAATGGTGGAAAGCAGAAGAAAGTAGTTGGCAAAACATCTTCCAACCAATTTTCGTCTGACACCGATAACCAGGATGACAGTCAAGATAGCAGTGAGAGCATAAAACCAAACGCCATTTATGAAATTGTGCAAGCAGTACGAAAAGAAACTCAACTCAGTCACGACATGTCAAAAGTTGCCGTGGAAACTGTACTGATCTCATTAAGAGTAAGTATTTTATAAATAAAGCAATCAATATAATGTCATTATTGAATTAGGTTAGCAAATAAAAATAATAGGGAAGATGCATATATAATATTTATGAAAATTTTATGATTAAAATGTTAAAAAAATATAAAAGAAATGCCACTGCAACGTTTTTATTTTACATAATGTTGTCTTTTAACAATTATTACGAATTAAAAATACTTGAAACGGAACGTATATTAAAACACCAATCAGCGTTCAGTGACGTCACTCCTGTTATGACAACTTCTTTGAGGTTATGGTTATTGTTAAAGTTAATATTATTTTATGGGAATATTAATGGCGTTTTTTACATTAAATAAAAATGGAAGTTGCGTTTATCAAAGCAGACTCCAGGAATTTACCAAGAGTTAGCGTTGACATGGTTATAACTTTTTTTGTCCAAAGTGCAGAGTTTTTAAGTGTAGAAATGAAAGGGACTAAATTACTACGGGATGTAAAAATCGTAGTTGTTAAACTTCGTATTTTATTCAGCGGCTTCTACAAATCTTACGGCGATAATGCAATCGGCTATGTCCAAATTAAAAGAGATGGAAAATAATGTATAGTAAAAGGTCGAGTTCTCCGGAGCATAAAGTACGTAAAGAAGGTAATCGTGTTACAGTTATTTTAAATGAAACGCAAAGCTTGGTTCAGTCCTGCCAATGTGAAGATTGTGCTACACATTTTAAACTTTATCTAATTTTCGACGCCATTCTCCAACTGTATAATTAAAAATATATTATAGACAGGTTTTGTAAGTATTAGGTAGGTTACTAATGCGTTATTACGTACAAGCAGATTAATTAAGCATATAACAAGTATAGTAACAAGTCTTTGGAGAATAATTGTCATTTCTCTTCGCAGCTTGAAACCACTTTTTTTTTCAGTTTTGGGTCAGAAGTTCCAGTCAAAAACAATTTATTTGGGAACTTTGTTGAAGTAGATTGGCACAAAACATGAGTCAGCACGGCTTTTTTTCGGAATATTAGTGGTATTGTTAAGATCACATGATGTTGATGGATAGTAGATTTTTAATTTTTCAAAAAAATATTTCGAAAGTCGAAAAAATATGCAAAAGTATGAAATTTTAAAGCCAGCAACGAACAATTATGACCAGTGACTGCCAAGAGTGACGTCATCGCAACCATAGGTTCGTTTTCGCGCGAAAATTTAAATTGTCAATTTAAAACCGCATTTTTTCCGATAAATCACAATGTTTTAATTTTTTAATATATCTGTGGTTTATTCTACATGGAATTCTTTAAAATGAAAACAAAAATAAAAATATTGCATCTTCCCTATTGTATTCATATATTTGAGAAAATTAAGAGTGTGGTGGCAGCATCTGTCAAATTTTTAATTTTACTAACACCAATTATGATATTCTTTCATTTACTTATTTAATATCACATTATATAAATTCTATCAATTAATATAGTCATACTGCTATTCAGAAAGGGGAATAATTTAATTTTTATAATTTTTGGTGTTCAGTACAAGGTTTTTGTTACAAATGACTACCATTGACGTTCCAATTATGACTATACCAAGACCATAGAGTTACTAGGCAACACTTGTTTGTAAATATTAATTAATGTATTGTTCGGAAAGCTATTTTAAACATATCAACTGTGTTTTAATGGGGTAGCAGAATTAAATTTAATAAAAGTGCAGAAATCAGTAGTCGAAGCCTCCAAAATAAGGTAGGACTACTGAAAGATATTTTTCTTTAAAATAGATATTCCAAATCATGATTGTATTAAAAGCAATGCTGGGAACCATCAATGTGCTAAAAGGTACAAAGTCTGCCATTCAAACGGATGAATGCTTTACTTCTACAATCCTATGAAAAGGAGATTAACAAATATAATAACCTTCACAGTACTATCCTTGTGTTACTTACTACAAACATGACAGAGGAGACTCTACTAAAAGTATTATGATTTGATAATGCAAAGGAGATGGAGGACGAATAAGAAACAATACCAAAAATAAAAGTTATCACCTTTGCCTGAAATTCTTTAATTATAAAAAGACTCCAGAACATATGGCTTCTCACTTATCTGCATTAAAAAATATAACCCTAAATAAAATAAAAAAATAACCAAAGAAAATCTGCCAGAAATACTTGATATGTAAGATTCTTGATACACTACCAAATGAATATTTCGGATTCAAATCAAGCTGGATGCTAATACCTGACAACCAAAGAACTATTGCAAACCTAACAAGCCAAATAGTTGCGCATGAAAAAGCCCTGTCAGTTTAAACTGAAGAAGAATGAGGCAACGTTGCAGAAGCCCTGTACACTCCGGCAGAGGTGAATAATAAAAAGTACGAAAATTAGGAGAAAATAAATATGATGAAACTTATGGACACATAGTCAGAAAATGCAAGAAGTGGAACACGGATGGTCATCCAAAACCTCCTCCAAAGCAATCTTCAAATGTCACAACTCTGACAACATGTTAGTTAGTTAGTTAGTTAGTTTTTCAGGGCGGTTTCCGCACTTGGTCCTAATTATTGGACCATTGTGCGTATCTCATAAACATTCCCGCTTACTTCAGCCAGCCTATATCGGTCCAGAAGGAAAGCAGCCTTGATAGACTGCTGCAAGCTTCCGGAAACGAGTTACCGTGTTGTTAACCGCAATGGATTGAAGTGCCTTGTGGCACTCCATTACTAGGACAGAGTTTATTGTGTTGCTACGACAACATGTATGGCCTTATTCATTGGGTGTAATGATAAAGACTCATGTTGTGGAGCGTACACAAAATAATTTTGATTTGCGCACATACTGTGTAGGCTCCTTTAACTTTAATGCTTCAATCATACAACTGTCTGTGTCATGATCCATTGGCAATAATTATTTCTGACTTGTACTATAAATTTTCAGGAATTTCTCCCTGGAGGTGCGGCAAGGTCAATAATAGATGCACTCCTACGCGAAGCAAACAGTAATATCACATGTCCGAAGAATGCCATTGACGCAGCCCCCGATGCCTTGCGAATGATGACAGCTTTAAACTCACTGTCAAAGGCGGCAAACGACGCGCAACAACGAGGCTGGGCTTTACATGACGACGCGCACGATATACAGACTCAACTCCTAGAGCTTATATCAGTCATGGTATGTTATATAGGTAATCTCTCAAAAAAAATCTTTTGGCAAATCGTAAGGTGCCCATTCACCACTGAACTCTTCAGTCAATTAAGATCTCTTACATTATATCACTTTTATTGTCATTGTGGCCACTAGCAGAAACATAACTTGGTAAAAAAAGAGAAAGCAAAATTCGCATTTTTTTTTTAGCAAATAAAGAATCCAAGAAATAGAATATAATATACCCATGTATACAATAGAACTATGAAACGTATTATTTAAAAATTATTAATTTCAGTCCAATGCCGATGTGAATATCTCTCAGCATGTGTTAAGCAGCCATAAGTATGCATATGTAACAACACTTGTCCAGTATTATCAAATGGAGACGAGATGGCCTCTCCGACAGCTACTTTTGCAGGTAAAAAATATAATCAATTGTATATATATATAGTTATTGTGTCTATTATTTACCTCCTCACATACTGTATTTACTTGTAATTCAGCATTATTGTAGATTGTTTCTTTTTATTCACTTCCAATAGGCATTTGGGTTTACAGTGTGAAATTTATATTTTTTTTTACTAATTTCTTAAAGGCATTTGGCGTAATGTGCGGCCTAGAACGTACAGCCCTCGCTACTCTCGCATTGTCGTCGCTACCCGCCGAAATAGCTCGTGACATGATTGACAACCCCCGCGCTGTCAGCCGGCTGTCACACTCTGCACTGTTGTTATCGATGGTGTTGTCTATGGGCGATAGGTTGCCAGTCACGCACTTCGGTAAGTTATTCAAGTTTATAATTATTTTTTTAGTTTATTAGGGATATTTTCCCGCAGTAAAACGTAGTCTATGTGTTTTCCAGGGTGTCAGCTAACTCCATACCATTTTTTTAATCGCTCCAACCGTTTAGACGTGAAGAAGTAACAAATGTACACAGTCACAAACTTTCGCCTTTATAATATTAGTGTGATAAGATTTTCCATAAATAGTACAATAGAGGCCAGCAGCGTGTTTCTCTATAAGCTAGATTTTAACTTCCGTGATAGATAGATCCAATTTCAGACATTCATTAAATAATAGTAAGTATACCAAAACATAATATGCCAAAAATAAATATTTGACAATAGTAAAAAAATCGATTTAACGAAATCAAGTGACATTGCTTCTTATATAGCTTAGATAGCTTGTATGGTAGGAATTATTATAATATACTTTCTATAATAATTATAATGAAAAATAATTTTAATCGTCATTGCCAAATTTCATGACAACCTTTGAGTATATTCACACCTAGATTCCTTATTAACTGTACGGAATCATCTCAAAAAATATCTACTACATATTTTTTTTTATATTACTAGGTAGGCAAATGACTCTACCCCACCTGATGTTAAGTGGTGATAAAGTCCAAACGCGAAGATAGCTGGTACAGCAGTTATTAACTGCTACACCAACCATCCTCACCTTGCCGGCCCGCAAAAATGCTTCTTCACGCCTCTCTTAAAGGACCCCAGATTATAGGAAGGAGGGAACACGTGCGCGGGTAAAGAATTCCACTTACGAATAGTACGACAAAGAAATGAGTCGCCAAATTTCTTTGTTCGTGTAGGAATAGTGGCCACAGTAAGTCGATGGCAACGTAGGCCAGCGTGCGTGGTCCTCTGAAGAAAAGGTGATGGAGGGATAAGCAAGAATAGCTCCTCAGAACACTCGCCGTGGTATATTCGGTAGAATGCGCTTAATGATGCCACATCACGGCGTAATTGTAGAGACTCGAGTTTCTTAGTTGCCTCTTCATCGCCAATGATGCGGGCAGCGCGCCGCTGCAACCTATCCAAGGCATCGAGTAAGTACTTTGCGGAGCCATCCCAGAGGTGCGAGCAATATTCCACGCAGGACCGCACTTGTGTTTTGTACAACAAGCACAGTTGATCGGGCGTGAAAAAACGCCGCACCTTGTTCAGGACTCCGAGTTTGCGTGAAGCTGTTTTGATATATATGATATAATATGGTAGATACACTCTTCGCTACACATCATCATCATCATCATCATCAGCCTATTAATGTCCCCACTGCTGGGGCACAGGCCTTCCCTATGGATGGAATAGGGCGATTTTGTCATGACCCACCACGCGGGCCCAGTGCGGATTGGCGGGTGCTAACGACTGAAGATGCAGCTGGGACCAACGGCTTAACGTGCCTTCCGAAGCACGGAGGAACTCGAGATAGAAGATGTTTGGTCACCCATCCAATGACCGACCACTGCGAAAGTTGCTTAAATTCAATGATCGCAGCCGAACGCGCTAACCACTTGCGCCATCGAGCTCCTCCTGCGCCATCGAGCTCCTCACATGCACACATTGATTGCTTCCAAACAATCTGACATTAGAGTCACGCATACACTGCGCCTAACATGAAGTGGTTTTCTTTGCGTGGTTTATTTGGATTGCTCTATCAAGGCGTGTATTGTATATAATCAAAGATGCCAAAATTATAAATGTGAAAGTTATGTCAAAAAAAATTACCTTACTACTTTGATAAATTTTATACTTTTTACAGAACAACTCGGAGTGGAGTTTGCTCAATTCCTCCTCGAACTAATCGAGAGTCCACCGGAAACAGATGAGAACGAACAGATCCCAGATTTGTTCCTGACTCTGCTGCTGGCTTACAATCTTCAATTCGAGCAGCCTAACGAGAACTTATTGCTCAATGCTTTAGAAACCAGGGACAACGCCAAGACTTTCTGTGAAAAAGTCCTCCTGTTGCTCAATAGGGAAGGTTAGTGACTCAAATGATGTTTGTTGGCAACAAATTAGAAATAATATGGAATACATACTCCGCTCAAAAGTGGTTTCACGCAAACTGCAATCAAATGGGCGAGGCAAACAAACTACGATCAACACGCTGATAGCGGTATTGGTTGGAATTTCCATTTAACATTATCTTAAATCTTAGAAATATTTATTATTATGGCACTAGAAGCGTACCTACATAATTATTTTTTGCAAAAAAAAAACAGAAGGAAAATAAACTTAAAATGCTCAACCATGACAACTTTTAATATATTTTACAATGCACTTGCTTGGAAAATGTCTTTTATGTGCCTCTTTTCTGCACATGTGCGAAATAGTAGTTTAAGATACTGTTGCATAATAAGGGTTCTTATAACATGAGTGTGTTTTAAAAAAAACGAGCCGTAGGCGAGTATGGAATGGAGAGATGTATTCAACCTGGTCGCTTGCTCAGACTGTCATACTAGCAGTTTTGATTAATAAAAAATAAAAATTTCCAAATTTTTTATCACATACTGGCAGCACTCATTGAGCACTAAATTATTAACCGTTGATTTATCATAGATCTTCGATCCTCAGGGATGTATTCAACCCGGTCACTTGCTCAGACTGTCATACTAGCAGTTTCGATTGAATTTTTTTTTCCAAATTATTTATCACATAATGCCAGCACTCACTGAGCACTAAATTATTAATCGTTGATTATCATAGATCTTCGATCCAGAGTGATGTATTCAACCCGGTCACTTGCTCAGACTGCCCTACTAGCAGTTTTATTGCAAAATAATAATGTTTTTTTTTTCGAATTTTTTATCACATACTGCCAGCACTCATTGAGCACTAAATTATTAACCGTTGATGATCATAGATCTTCGATCCAGAGTGATGTATTCAACCCAGTCACTTGCTCAGACTGTCAAGCTAGCAGTTTTGATTCATAAAAAATAAAATAATTTAATGCGATTTTTGCCTTCCATCGATTTTTGAACTACAGCTAGCTAGGATCAATAGGACCTAAGTGCCATCGGCTAAAAAAGTGGCATCCGGTATATCCGGTACCCCAAAAGCAGGTGGACGCCAGTTTAAATGCACTTTCGCCTTAAGGGGACGGCAATTTGTTTGCGGGATAAATATATATATATATATATATATTTCACGAGAGAATAAACGATATAATATACTTAAATTAATGACTCTAATTTAACGCTAATAATAGGGTACTTGACAGTATTAAAAATAAAGTACCAATTGTTATCATCGGTGTTTAGAATGAATATTGGCAGGGATTTAACTATTTTTACAAAAAAAATATTCATAATTTTACTAAAAACCCACGAAAAAGATAATAGTTTTCTTATCTATTGTCACGTGACCCAAAACGCTTGGGATTGGCGGAGCTTAAAATGACGTCACACGCAAGTAAACTTCCGGTTAAAGTGATATTACATTGTATCGTTTGACGTTTTAATAACAGTCGTGTGACGTCACACACTAGTAAGACGGCATATTGTCCAGAGAAACATTTTCGCGACATCTTGAAAATGAAGTTTTTGATTTGGTTATTTATACTGAAATACACAACGGAATGATGAATATCAATAACGTGAGATCGTTTTCTTAACCTTGTCAAATACCCTATAACCAATCTGTGTGTATCTACGCGGGTGTGTCTGCGTGGGTATCTGTTTTTCTGTGTGTGTGTGTTTATATGTGTGCATGTGTGTGTGTGAGCTTGCATGTGGTGCGTTTATATTATATTATATATTATATTGCAATATTATAGACATAAGAAAATAATGATAATTAAATGACTTTTATGAAATAAACTTCCCTTTTTTGCAGAAGACCCAGTGCATATATTCGACCACGAACCAGCGCCTCCACACTCTGTATTGAAGCTGGTCATAGACCTATTCAGTCGCAAGAAGACCGCCGAACACTTCTACACCAACGATGTGAAAGTGGCCATAGATATTATACAGCGGCAACTCGCGGATTTGTCGCCGGGAGACGAGGTATAATTATGTATTAGAGAATACGAATAACCTAATAATTTGTAATGCGTGGTGGAATGCTTCTTCACCTGTACTTACAAATTTATCGTCCTCCCAAACCCCTTTGATGTGTGTCAAAAACCGCCAGTCAAGCTATCGTCTATCGTCATGCAGCTCGATAGTTCTTATTAGTAGTCAAAGCTTCGGTGCGCAGGTGTAAAAGTTAGGTGGTAAGCGTGTTCGGCATGCGATCGTGATAGTTAAGCAACTTCGGCAACGGTCGGTCATTGGGTGACCAAAAATATATTATCTCGTTATCCTCCTTGCTTCTGAGGAACGTAAAACCGTTGGTCCCGGCTGCTTCTACAGTCAATCCGCACTGGGCTCATCTAATGGAACATAAGTAAGTCTCTATTCCGCCCATAGGAAAGGTCTGTGCTCTTAGATTAAAACAAAAAGGGAAGATACGGCACTCGCGGCTCAAAAGTGATCCGCTTAAATAGGGGTGGGTGATGACGGGGTACAGTAAACGAAATTCTATTTAGTCCGTCAGTTAGATGATCAAAAAATAATGGACACGTATTTTTTCTTTGGGCAATCAACCAAAAAATGACGAAGTTATAGCGCGTCAAAGTAGGAGTAGGGGCTCGTGACGTCACTTTTGGGTGAATTTTCACTTATAAGTGTACTCAAACGTGACCTCATGCGACTTTTCAAATATATATATCTCTGCAATGTTTATATTATGTTAAAAAAGAAAAAATACGTGTCCAAAACTTTTTGATAATCTATCTGATAAACGAAGAAAAAAAAATAGTCATCATCCCTATTGTGTTGCACGATCACAATTCGCTGTAGTCACAATTGAACATTCAAACACGCTGCTTGAGTGCACATACTCAATATACACAATATTGCGTATATTCTGTGTTAAAATGATAAAAAACATGCCTTCGATGCTTTTATAAAGAACAGAAATAGTTCAAAATCAAATAACAAATGCCACGGCAACACTTCTCATCCGTAAAACTGTAAAATATTTTTTTTTTCTCAAAAATCACGGTTTGTCGTGAATGTTATTTACGTAACCGCATTTTTTTATCAAAAATATCAAAAAAAGGACAGCTTAGCCGTTCGCATTCGGAAGCGGATTCGCCGTTTCGCTCTCTCTACGTTGAAGTGTACAGTTCTGTCTCGCTCGCTCGGCTAAATGTTATTTACAGACGTATGCGTCTATGAGAGTGGCTTATGTAGTTCAGTCGGACCATATTTTATTTGATGCTAGTATGAGCGTACCGTATCTTCCCTTTTTGTTTTAACCTAAGTTTGGTCCCCATCCCCAATAGTGGAAACATTATTAGGTGGAGGATAATCTCTATTCAACATTTGTTTATGAATATACAGGGCGTGAAGAGTAGCTGATGGTGATAGAAACTGCTCCATTCATCAATTGATATTTAGGTCATATTTTAAACGAGTTCATATATTTTTTTATATACTTAAGTTGTACATTCCTAGATGTATAGCACATAGCGATTGATAAAATAAGCATCGAAAAAGATATTGCTGAAGTCGCGGCTGTGTGAAGTTAGTGTCCTTTGCCTATTCATTGGGATAGTAAAAACAAATAAGAACACAATGCACTATGGTCTTCTTAGTCCTTTATTTTATAATTTTAGTTGATTAAGGTTCCATTGCTCCAACTGGTAGGGCAATGGGTTCAGGCCAACAGTGTGAGTGATGTCTAACACAGTAAAACTTTTCTGCCTCATCAGCAGTTTTCGTGGCTGGATTCACATACACTTGACTTCATATGGGTCGTCATTAATTTATTGAAAGTCATAATTTATTGAATCTTGTATAAAAAAACCAGTGTGCTTATGACCACACGACTGGAGTGAAACTTCTTTAGCTCCATCTGTATGTATATGTATATGTACATACAAGATATACACATGTATGTACATACACATATAATTTACTAGCTATAAGAGAAAGAGAGAAAGAAAATGTGCGCGCTCATTGCTTTCTCTTGCTTATATCCCCCACTCAACTCCCGTTCGCATCGCCCGATCACACTTTTCGTAACGCGTTCGCCAGCTTACTCCCCAAGTCAAGCGTGCGTAAAGAAGTTTCACTTCAAAAACAGCATTTAAACTTTAAACATATTTACAGCGCCGACGCCAATACCTGAAAATCTTACAAGGCATAGTTCGCAATACGGACTACGAATCGCACCACCATCGCCAGCAAGACTTATTGCGATGCTTTGCCCGAATCTTCTGCGAAGAAAACGACGCGAGTCGCGAAGACCAAGCTTTAGTTCGTGCTATATCGAACGAGTTCCCCCAGTACTTCATGGCCTAAGGTTTGAACACCTTTGACTATTAATAAACATTTCAGGACGCCAGTCAGTCCCATCGTTGAAAAATGAGAAGCATTGATCGAGATGTGGAAGCAATTCCGAAGAAGTATTACGCATAAAAAATCACTTTGAATTAGTTACGTGATAACAGGTAAATATTTGGTGATTAGAATTTAACTATTTAAAGTGATTTAAAAGTGGTCTATTCGTTTGCGTTGTGTGCTATCTAATCTGCGCCTATACGTCTTATTATAGGTTATCTCGTATTATAATAAAGGCGTGCGAAAGATATGTAGATACTGCTATCTTTGTCATAAGTATTTATTGCTATTAGTACTCTTTCAATCATTTTTAAATCATTAATATCGGGTAACTTAATAATGCTAATTCTACAAGAGATCAGCTCTCTTTGTTTAAGTTTGAATGACGTTACTATTGGAAGGCACTGAGTATTTGCGGATTTTCTCTGTGATGTAACTTCTTTATCAATGACGTATTTAAGTGACATTCCTTAGAGAATATTGAGATTATTTCTCTTCGTACTTAGACGAAATTTTTTCGGAAAGAAGATATTGTTAAACTATTAAATAATACTTGTAATTCGTTCTATATATTTGATCGTGATCATGTCCATCGCGAAATAAAGTCACTGTCGTGAACCAATGTAACCTCGCGCTGAGTATCGATGTGGTTTGAATAAAATGGCTAGATATTTGTATTTATCTGTTTTGTGATCTCATAATGTTATATAAATTGGATTGACACTATAATTTGAACAAAATGTTGATATTTTTTCAACTCCTGATGTAATTAATAATATTCGCACAATTTATTTGGCATGCATAAAGATTAAGCCTTAATTAATACGCATAAAAGTTAAATTTTCCCAACTCAATTAACTTGCACAAGATAGTCACTGTTTACTGTATGTACGTATTTAAGTAATTTTTATATTACTAAGTCATAATAACGGAACAGTTTCTTATGATATTTGTTAAGATTGTGTATCACATTGTGCCATTATCTGCCAAAGATTTTCTATATTTAACATGTTTAATTTATCAAATAGTACCTACATATTATATTATTGTCATGTAGACAGTCAATTACACAATGCTTTAAAACATTTTCCATCCCAGAATAAAATATAGTTGACAAAATTTCAATATTTACAGCAAATATGATTGATTCGTTTCGGCCTAATTGAACAAAAAATAAATAAATATCTTTTTAAAATAATGATAAGTACTCATACTTTTAATAATGGTACCTACAATCACTGAAAAAATCAAATTAATCAGTAAACAAAAAGTAAAAAAATATATAAAAAATATTAAGATTTAAGTAATTTTTTTGAGTAAGTACTGAAGTTTGATTGAGCCTAAATATTTTTCTAATTATAAAACTTTTCCATTCATGTACTTACGACATTTTCACAAATTGCATTTATATTGTATCACAAAGTAAATAGTATGATTAATAATTTACGACGTATCTAAAGAATTTTCGATATATAATATTGATTAACTACAAAATATTTAAATAGTTTAATTACTTATAGTAAATCCCACCGTGTTGAATAGACATAAAACTTTATTTGGTGTAGTAGACATATCCTACCTACGACTAAATCATTGTTAGATTTTATTTTATTTACGTAGATTTAAACGTAAAAGAAATAAAACAATACCAAATTTACCCAAAATTGGCAAGAGCTAACTATGTCGGTAAACTGTACTATGTCCAATGTGGCATGCGAGTTCTGCCTCTCACAATTTAATGCAACTTTAATAATTATGTAACGATATATATGTTTTTCAGTTGAAAACCCCATTTACAAATTTATTTAGATTTTTAATATTTTTTTGTTCTCGTTATATTGCAGTTTACAATCAATAGGGGGAAAACGCAAAGGTCATTACAAATGGCGTTGCATTCGTGTGACCCATAAAAATCAATCTGACAGTTCAAATCTGTCGACCTGGTACGGTTTTTCTTCCGAAATTCTATTTCTTATTTTTTCACTAACAGTAAAAGTATATCAATTGGACTGTGAAACACATAAAATACTTGCGGGTCAAAGAAAAGATGCGGACGCCAAAGGATTATAAAACAGACCGTCAGAAGTGAGTTACGGGTAATTTCTACTAAAAAACAAGTTTAAAATTTACTTGAAATATGCTAAAATATCTAACATTATTTAATAGCTTTTGGTTGCCCGACACCGTCTTCCAACCAGTGTAAATATTGCTTTAAATATTCTGACCGAATTCGAGTAATGTCTTTTGTGCATCCGAATACGGGCGAACGGCCAAATGTAGTTGCGCCATAACTTTAAAACTTTCTGAATAGATTATAAATTTCAGTTAAAATAAACTGTCAGTTTTGGGTAAGTTGACCTGGTAATGTCTATACAGTATCCAGTATCAGTACAATAAAGTGATGTTAGCAATAATGTTGGTTTGGAGAACCAGCAAGTTCAAAATTATAAGTGATATCATTACCAAAATTATAATTGTTGCTTAAAACTAATAATATTTATCCCATTGTTAAAGTTTTGATCACTGTCGACCAATATTTCAGGGTTCATCAGAGTTATTGCATTTATGGTACTCTGAATATGTTAAAATGTAAAAAAGACACTATTATAAAGTACTTCATTATAGATTTTAAGTGTCGATAAATGAAAATAGTGTGTTATTTTATTACTTAATTATATTACAAATTTATAATGACATCAGAATCAGTGTCAATAAATTATGGAAGTCGTATTTATAAATATTGATTATATTTAAAAGTTTTATTCGAAAGTAATCTCGTTAGATATATGCTAAATTTATAAATTATTACTTTGAAGGTCGGTGCTCAAAAAACCCAAGCCAAATTTTGTGTAACGGAAAAAAGAGTTTTTGGTGTTTTGATTTTTATTTTTTTGTAACTGAGTGACTTATTTAAATTGTATTATTTTGTAAAGTGATATGAATAAGGCTTACCCGTCTACATTAACTATTTTATGCATTTGATAATACATTGCATGTATGTTTATGTGTATGTATGTATGTATGTGTAACTTGTTCGAGCAACTTATCTTTGCTATTAATTAGCTACTGTTATAGAAACGTTTGTCAGATTAAAACATGAATAAAAGTGTTCTCGTCATTAAGTTTTTTTATTATTGTTTAGCCACTAGTATTTATCTGAACTGTGGGTTAGATTCACCACTCAAATCACCCAGCTTTGCGATAAGTTCGAAACAATGTTAATTTTATAATTTAGTTAATTTCAAATCGATCCTTGCATAATCATCAATATGATTATGTCGAGTTTATCTAGAGCACCACAGCTTAACTAAGAAATTACTCTTAAATCAGTACATAAGTGAAGTTAAAAATTAAGAAAGTATAGGTAGCGGCAAACTTCTTAAACAAACCCACTTACAAGGTTGCGTAGTAAATCTGCTGTCCTAGTGAAGAATGCAGCTTAAACATCATTTCAGAGCTCCTAACTGCATTCTTCACAAGGACGGCAGATATGATTTTGTGTGTAAAATTGCTACTGCCCAAAATTCGTCATCCAAGCAATAATGTCGTTACTCACTTTTATCCTCTTGTACATATGTACATATACATTTGTTAATTTTACTAGAAACAGATGGGGCTGGAACCCGCACCCTCCGCCATCCTGGCGGATGCACTGACCTTATTCTACCGCTAATGACCCTGTAGATTGTTTCCTAGTATTTCCTAGGCTGCAAGGCAGCACCATCTCTTCGAATTGTAGGTAAACCAACAATGTAAAACGAATACTTTTACAAGTATTAAACATTTGAAAGAAGAAATGACAATAGGGTATTTGACAGTATTAAAAATAAAGTGCCAATTGTTATCATCTGTGTTTAGAATGAATATTGGCAGGGGATTCTACTATTTTTACAAAAAAATATTCATAATTTTACTAAAAGATGAAAAAGAAGATGAACCCACGAAAAAGATAATAGTTTTCTTATCTATTGTCACGTGACCCCAAACGCTTGGGATTGGTGGAGCCTAAAATAACGTCACACACAAGTAAACTTCCGGTTAAAGTGAAATTACATTGTATCGTTTGACGTTTTAATAATAGTCGTGTCACACACTAGTGAGACGCCATATTGTCCAGAGAAACGTTTTCGCGGCAACAAATTGAGTTTTTTATTTGGTGATTTTTACTGAAATACACAACGGAATGATAAATATTTTTATCTTTTTACGGACTCCATAAACATTAGTCAATAATGTGAGATCGTTTTCTAAAACTGGTCAAATACCCTAGTAAAACACGGTGTTTCAAAAAACCCAAAAAAAGAAATTATTTATCGAAAATCATAATTAAAATGTCCCATCTCTAGTGATTACTATAAGCCGTAAATTCAACCCAAAATTGACATTTAAATCATAGACTATCAATTTTTAGACTTGTGAAATTAGCTAAAAATTTTGCAAAAGGAAGGTTTATCATTTTGGCATTCTATGTACATAGATACAGGCGGAGGATCATACGTAAATACATAACATAACTGTATGTATAAATTTACGTATTCCTCCGTAGCCAGTGCTGTCATATCTACCAACTTTTTGGTAGATCTACCAATTTCCACTTCAGTCTACCTATCTACCACCCTAGACCTAAAAACTACCTATTGAAGTGAAACTTCTTTATCGGCGTTGGAAAAAAATTTACCGTCACATTTTTCGGTTACGCGTCACATTTTTCCGTTACGCGCCATCTTTTTTTATATTAATAGTTGATAGCTGAATGATCACGCTGTCGCCGGCGAGAACTCTCTCTACTCGTTTGTAGCTGAGTGACAATAGTTATTAAAGATAAGACTCGCTCAGCCAAACTCTCATAGCGATACTCGCTCAGCGATACTCGCTCAGCGATACTCGCTCAGCGATACTCGCTCAGCGATTCTCGCTCAGCTATACTCGCTCGGTTAAGCTGGCTTGGCTGTCAAAAGCCGTGCATAACACAAGCATTTTAACTCAGGACTGCCAATTCGTTTCTAGTTTCTACTCGCTTATCGTTCATCGTCGGAGGTGGAACATGTGCCTTAGATTACTGAGCCGTGTAATCATAACAGTTTCATAGGCAGTAATTTGTATTCATGTCTATGATAATAAAATCCTTTTGTTTAAACTTTATCTAATTTAACTTTATTTAACCAATTTCTGGAAAGTTGCATGTAGATCATTTTTCGAAAAATAAGGCCATAAAGAAGTTTCACTTCTTACGTGTGTACACTAGTACACGCACACATTTTTTTTATATTAATTAGTTTGACATATCACCACTTTGAATTATTTTTAAAAAAGGCACTATGACCAAAAATATTCGAAATTATGGGAGAAAAACAAGAAGGAATTTGCAGGTTGGCTTCAAGAAATTACTAAGGGTGACGGATATTTTTATTGCAAATCATGTAGGTGTGATCTGAAGTTTGCTCTGCATTGCATTGCATGCATTTTTAATCTTAAAAAATCTTCTAAATTGAGGTGGTAGATCTACCAATTTTGCATTTTATATTCTACCAACTTCTACCAACATTTGGCACATAATCTACTAATTTTCTACAATTCGGGTTAGCAGCACTGTCCGTAGCGCTTAAAGATTTCATATAATTTTAATTAATAAGGTGTCTATTGATTCTTTACAATGACCTGGATAACACAAGCATTTTAACAGACTTTAATAAATAGAAGGAGTCTTGTAATTGATCATTCCTTGTTAGTAATATCAAGTTAGCTTATTACATAACTATCTTTAAATCAATGGCATACATGTGCATGTCTAATTAGACACATCTGCTACCATTTAGTCTTTGAAAACACCAGGCAAACAGCAGAATTTAGCACTTTTTGAAAAAATATACTTTGGGTTCCGCATGCATTTTTTTTTGTTTTCCTAAATAGTGTCTTCAAATACAGTGGCAGGCTGACGGTACATAATTTAATGACAAGGCGACATGAAGTAAATTGTGTAGGTGGTTTTATACACAATCTTGAAATGTACCTAACTTATAGTAATTAATTTTTATTTACTGACCGTGTACCTACGTGACATTTAATGTAATGTTTTAATATCATTTTCCTTACTTGTAATACCTGGGATAACATGACGCATAAAGTTTATAAAAGTTCTAACTCTGTAATAGTTATTTATGATATTAGTGCGGTAAGTTGGTTATTACGAGTAGACACTCTTTTTCTTTTTAGTATTAAAGTAAGACAAAGGTATGATTAAAAGCGCTTTCAGGGAGGTTCGACGAAATTAAACGTAAAGGATATTCACGGAACCATGTATGGGAGCGTTGTATGGCCCGTAATTTTGAACTTTCGACCAATGCATACAACCTCCATAAATGCATTTTTTGAGCAAATGTATTGAAAAAAAATACAGCTTTCTCTAAGAACTCATTGTTTTAGTACAGAAGTCCAACAGCAAATTTTGACAGCTCCGTAATCGGTTCGTCATGGTCAAATTTTGAATGGAAGGCGCCAGTTGGGTCTTACGCCCGGCAGGGGCGCTGCATAATTTTCATAGAAACTTCGAGGATGCAATACGATTACGGAACTATATATATAATAAATTCGTCCAGGGGCCTTAGTTATAGTCTTTTAGGAAATTCAGAGTAGGCAGTTAAAACCATAATCTCAGTATTCGCAAAAGGAAATTCGTTTTAAATCACGCAGTGTGTAACCGATTTCCTTTACGGTGTGCAGATAAATACCATTTTTGTCGATGAAAAATCCTTAGGGACCGTACCGGATTGAACTCTAAATTGAATAAGCGTATTTTTAGCAGAATGTCGAGCGTATAATAATGATCTTAAATCCAGAGATGTGACTTATCTGAGATAAAAGTATCTTAGATACAAATACAAGATACGTATTTGTATCTTGTATTTCAAAAACTTTATTGAAATTTATTTTGTATCTTTTATTTAAATACTTTTTGTCAGTATCTTTGTATTTTGAAGATACTTTTTTTTACTAAGATACTTTTTCTTTTCCTATATAATTTTCAATATTGATTTTCAAAACGCATGCGGGTCAGGCCGTAAATTTTGCCACATTAGTTATAACATAACTCTCCGCCACATTTAAAAAAAACGTACGGTAATTACATTTTTTTCAATAACAGAATCATATTTCCTCACAAATGGTGAATCGCGATCAATAAATGTATTTAAATATCTTCAAAACCTTAGAAATTTATAAAATATTTTGCTACAAAAAGCGATGAATTTTTCGTAAAATACGCTTATCCGTCCCGGTAGAGGTGCACTTTGAGCATCAGTAAAATCAAAAATAAAAATCTTTTTGATAGCAGACTATCAAAAGCAAACAGATTTGCTTTTACGCTATACAATAATAGTTAGCTAGTCACATTTTAAATATCGTTTCCTATTACCTAAGAAATTTCATAAATCTTCACTCATTTTCGAAAAACGTTAAAATCCATTCCTTTGCGCTACTTTTTATTGCGCAACTAATAAATGCCCATTTGGTTGTGTTTAAAAAATAGCAGTATTCAAGTCTGAGTAGTGGCAACACCGAACATACTTTGTCTATGGTCAATACGCTGTCAGCGGTCATATTTTTTTCAGTCCAACATCAACATCGTTTGAAAGAAGGAAGTGTCATATTTTTTGCGGAGAGTGTTTTTTGATATATCACGGTAATATCTATACTTATTATTGCGCACGATTTAATGAAATGTTTGACATCTTTCAAGGCTTAATTTACATTAAAAAATAGCTTATTTATCAAGTTATAATGGGTTTTGTTTGCGCAATAGTTGCGCAAAAATGACTATATGCAACTTTGCGATACCAGGGGCGTAGAATTTGCGCTACTAATTTTACGCTACCAAATAAAGGAGCTTACACACAGGCTTGCAGGTGTTTTTTTTAGCTTTTGTAATATTTGTGTTTTTTTTTGAGGTTTCGATTTTAGTTCCTATGAAGGAATTGTATTTCTAGCAATAGAACTCTCCGCTTTTTAGATTAAAAGTTGACGTTTGTCATACTTACCTATTAAAAGTGTGTTTTATTTTGTAGCACTGTCCTTACGTTACATATCTTGTATGCACTCCTTAACAATTTTGCGTTACCATTT